TGTGTGTGTGTGTTGTGTGTGTGTGTGTGTGTGTGTGTGTGTGTGTCTGTCTGTATGTACCTATAGCATTAAACCATATTTTGAGGACAAATTTATAGTATTTATTACTTGCTGTATGCAAAAATAATAGAAGTCCTCATTTAGACCATTAAGACAAACGTGTGTTTACTAACCTCCTTGAAGGTGCCTGGCAAAATAAGGAATTTGTAGATGGCGTAGATTGGTACGCACAGCATGGAGGACAAGGCTATGAACCAGCCCACCGTATTTGACCAGGGAGGGAAAACATAGTCATCATATCTCAATTCGCCGGAGGTAACAATGCTGGCGATTACCACAAACTGCACAGAAAAAGAAATCAGGAAGTACAGAAACAATAAGGAGTAATTCACTATTCTGTACAAATGAACCCGATTTGTCAGCGTAAGCATAAGGTTTTTTTACTGGTTGAAACTATTCAATTGTATCAGCTGTATTCCAAGTACAATTGAGTAAATTTTTCGGTTAACTGACAAAACAGATTTAAAGTGTAATCTGACAGGGGACAGAGAAAGACATTACTTCCTTAAAGGGGTTATGACATGAGAAACCAAATTTCACTTGATCTTTTGACATAGAAGAGGTCTTTGTATGCTTGATACATCCTGCAAGTTTCATAACTTAAAATTTCCTCATCAATAAAAAAGCATTTATCTAATAACCCTCAGAAAATGGCTCGTTTGGATCCGAGGTGCCAGGTGACATCAACCGGGCACAGTAGTTTGCATATGACCACCTCCAGAGCAAGTAATCTTCTCACCATAGGGCCCACCCACTGGCGTTCAGATGCTCACCGTGTCCTGACTTTTGAAATACAAAAACACCTGTTTGGCAATATTTTGGATTTTGCCTGTTGACTTGCCCTTTATCTAAGGTGATTTTGGAAGTTTTTTTAATATTATTTTTTTTTATACATTCGTTTCTTATTAATTTGGTTCCACAGTGTTTGCTGATTTTCATTTTTTTATATGTGCTGAAAGCGGGGAAAAGAGGGTAAACTCAACTAACGTACACCCCTCCCCTCCCGGTGATACCAGTATTATTGGTGTTGTCACATGTCGATTAAACGGTGGGAAAAGTTCCTCACTGTCACAAACTAGTTGAAAGAAGAAGCGGAATTAGACCTGACTGCAGCTGAATCACAAACCGTAAGAAAATGATTTCATAATGCTTTGTTTGGAAATGACCATTTTATTTTAATTATGTTGTCAAAACACTCACATGCAACAGTGAGGGGGCGTTGATACTGTTTCCTATGCAATGACGTTAGCTAATCATAACAGTGGCTGAATACTAGAAAGGAAAAAATGAAATCGCATCATATGACCCCTTTAAAGGACACGCCCCTTAAAAACAGGTTATTTTAGACAGAGGGTCAGAACAAGGGTTGAAAATAATAATTTTCCCACATAATTATTTGTTTTGTTTTGCGCAAAAAACTTTTTTAACATTAGAAGTAAACCTCAAGGAATGTATTAAAATAATGAAAAAAAAAAATCCATGTCATGACCCCTTTAAGAGTCTAATTACATCAGGTGTTATGTTCATACACCCCTGTTTCACTCACCAGTAAGAACGTTGGACTGACGAACTTCCAGCAGAGCCTCCAGTAGATCCCTGGTTTGAAGCCTGTCATGCGTTCAATGTCCTCACTAAATCTGTCCACGCCTAAGGGACAAACACACAAGGAAATTAGCAGCATCGGGACATCATTTCAAGATAAAAGTACCAGAGACCTTTTTTCTGTATTTCTCTGAATTGTGGTTTCTCTTCAATATCAATGATGATCTGAACTCTTAGTACTGTACTCTTAGACAGCACTGTATTCAAAAGTTATGTAATACAATATAAAGCAGATATGAGAAGTTTTGGATCTCAGGAAGTGATGTAATGGAATGCAGCGCTGATAATCTTGACATTTTAAAGTCCAGAGGCTTTAAACTATTTGTTTATGTTTGCTCTTTTGGAGAGGCAGGGATACTTCATATTCATGAAGTAACCATGGTTCTTGCATGAGTAATTGCATAAAAAATATTATAGACAATGTGTTGGAATGTACAGTATGCAAACAATTTTTGAAATTCACAGTAGGACTATAATAAAGGACCTCCCTTGCAGTAACTAAAACGGCATATGTTTTGGAATAATTACAAAAAAATATAAAGTTGAGATAAATGTATAATTGTTTGGTCAGTCTTCAAACTTTCATTGTCATAGCTCTGATCTGGTTCAGCTCTGATCTTACTTGCACTGTAATGCATTAGTGTGTTGAGGCTGAGATTCTCAGTCTTACTGGAAGATGCAGTAGCTCCACTGACAACCATTCAAAAGTAGTTGTGTACACAAGATACACACTACATGGAAACAAGTATTGGGACACCTGACTATTACACCAACAGGGACTTTAATGACATAGCGTTCTAAATATAGAAACATTATTATGGAGTTGGTCCCCCCTTTGCAGCTTCCACTCTTCTGGGAAGGCTTTCCACAAGAATTTGGAGTGTTTCTGTGGGAATTTGTGCCCATTCATCCAGAAGAGCATTTGTGAAATCAGGCAGTGATGTTGGATGAGAAGGCCTGGTTTGCAATCTCCATTCTTGTTCATGCCAAGGGTGTTCGATGGATTTGAGGTCAGGGCTCTGAGCAGGCCAGTCAAGTTGTTCCACACCAAACTCATCCAACAATAGCTATGTTTCCATCCACATATTTTTATGTGCATTTTGGGATATCGCATAAAAAAACGCTGGATGGAAATGGCAAGATGCGCATAAATTCAAAAAATGCACATACAAAACGTACCTACTTACTAAGTAGGATACATTTCTTATCCTGGAAACACTTTTACCAAATAAATTCCTTAATGCGCATCAAAAAAGACTTTGCGATGGGACAGCATAACTGGACTAAAAACCAACAGACCAATCTCATTGCACAGCATCTGAAATGCTAGTTTTGTCATTCTAAAATGCTTGCGCAAAGTCTCGCCAAAGTGCTTCGTTATAATTAACTCCCAGAACTGTGTTCCCAAACAACAGGCTCTGAAAATAAAATAACATGACTGCAGTTTGTCTGCGCACACTGAAGCTCGTAATTATTATATACAGTGCCTTCTCCTACATCATCAAATTCAATTTTTCTTTGTGATATTTAGCGCAAGTTAATCAGGAATTTATGCGATATTCCAATTTTGTTCCACAATGTTGGCATCATAGCATTATCCAAAATGTCTTGGTATGCTGAAGCATTAAGGTTTCCCTTCAGTGGAAAAAGGGGGCCGAGCCCAACCCCTGAAGTACAGCCCCATATCATTATCCTTTCTCCACCAAACTTTATAGTTGGCACAATGCAATCAGGCAGGTAACGTTTTCCTGGCATGCACCAAACCCAGACTCGTCCATCAGACTTCCAGACACAGAAATGTGATTTCATCACTCCACAGAACACGCTTCCACTGCTTTAGAGTCTAATGGCGGCATCCTTTACACCACTCCATTCGATGCTTGGCATTGTTATTGGTGATGTGAAGCTTGCATGCAGCTGCTCGGCAATGGAAACCCATTCCTTGAAGCTTTTTGTGCTGATATATAGAATAAAAATAGAATAGAATTATTATTATTATATATGATATTAATGCCAGCGAAGTCTTTAGCCATGGAATCAGCAGAACAAGATTCCACCATCCATGCATCTCAGCACTTCACAAACTGACTTAGTGCAAAGGTGGCAGATTCTATCACAGTATCATGCTAGAATTCACACTTGAATGATCAGTTTTTGTCACAAATGTTTTTCAATGCAGACTGCATGGCTAGTTGCTTGATTTTATACACCTGTGGCAATGGGTCTGATTGAATCAATTATTGATTAATTAAAAGGTGAGCCCCAACACATTTATCCAAGTAGTGTATATATTAATATATTTACCTGTATGTATATGTCAGTACCAGAAGTCGCAGTGAGTATCTGGTGTGGCCACCAGCTGCTTTAAATGCTACAGTGCTTCTCATCCTCATGCACTACATCAGATTTGCCAGTTCTCGCTGTGAGATGTTACCCCACTCTTCCACCAAAGCACTTGCAAGTTCTCAAACATTTTTGGGGGGACACATGGTTACCTTCCTGTCTCCCTGTAGCACTGTTTTAGGCATCTTACATTACGGACATTGCAGTTTATTGCTCTGGCCACATCTCCCTGCAGTCCCCGAGTCAGTAGAAAGGTGTCTTTACTGTCCTAAGTTACGGTAAATATGACCTTCATTGCCTTACGCCTGTAAACTGTTGTCGCAAGTGTCTTAAGGACTGTTCCACAGGTGCATGTGGAATAATTGTTAAAGGTTAATTAAACAAGCATGAAAACCATTGTTTAAACCCTTTCCAAAAAAAAAAAAAAAAGATCTGTAAAGCTTATTTGGATTATACTAAATGTAGTACATAAACCTGTTATAGACTACAAAAGTTTACTAGTATGTGCATGAAATTCAGTCAGTAGTGGAAAGGACCTTTAAAGACAAATGTATGTTTATTTCTGCTCACCATAGAACCAAGCTACTCCAATAGCCTCAATCAGCACCCCAAATAGAATAGATGTCCCTGCAGCATACTTGTCCAACAGGGTCAACACATAGATCCCTCCCTGTCATGACCGAGATATAAGTCAAAATGCTGCTGAATAAAGGACTTCTATTAATTAACTCATCATTATATTGCTTTTATATTCTTTTGTGAATATTCATTTATTTTGCCTGTTCGTGATAAAAAAAAAATATTCACAAAACATAATTTGATCTGCTAAGTTTTTGACTCTAAGCCAATACATGCTGAAATGCTCCACAGTGTAGTTTCAACTGATGCGATCACATGGATCACACCATTGATGCTAAATAAATATTATCGCAAAAGCAAATTAAATAGGGATATTATATAGAATATAATATAATGTGACAAGAAAATAAATCATATTATTATAAGTATTTTCATATTGTCACACTGCTAAAAAACAGACCCAACATACTTACATTTGTGATGCACAAAAGGGCTATTAGGAATGTCCCAAATGCTACAATAAATGTAAATAATTTTCTATTCCTCTTCAGGATTTTGAAGTCATCTGACAGCCCAGTGATCACTGCCTCCATGCCACCCATCTAAATAAGACATTATTAGTAATTCAGTTATTAGTATAAATAATTCAAGTATCAATTGTTAGTAATTGCATTGTTTTTGTCAATTAATTTTATGTGAGATGGCCCAGACAAATAAAAAGGTGTTTAACCAATAGGACTATTCGCATGATCTTTATATATGCCATACAAATATATTACAAACTAGTTGCATATAAATCTAGACAATAACAAGGTTACTTTGTACTCACAGAGCTGTCAATTCCAAGAGTCAAAAGCATAATGAAAAAGACTATCGCGAAGAATGTGGATCCAGGTAGGGTTGAGATCGCTTCTGGGTAGATAATAAAAACCAGTCCAGCTCCTGCACACAGATACAAACAATCACTACACAGATCAGCAGAGGGACACTGCAACACCAAAAAAATAAAAATAAAATAAATGTTTGTCGGGGGTCACACTCTGGTTAACCACAAAAGAACAAAGAATAGTGCACAATGTAAAACTGAGAATCATGAATAGGTTGAGTAATACACAAAAAAGTGTAAAACAATGAGGTTGTAGGAGTCACAGACCGTCAGTGGCCACATCCTTTACGTTGACCTGATGCTGATGAGCCATATACCCCAGTACTGAGAAGATGGCAAACCCTGAGAAGAAACTGGTTACGCAGTTTATTGTGCTGGTCAGAATAGCATCCCTGCAACAAAGCACAAGATAACAGTTTACATTGCACCAGAAGTTTTAAAACTGCTGAGACTTGAACACCTTAATCCCACAGTGAGTCGATGCCAAAGCTGTGGCTTATCCCCACTGTGGATATGCTTTGAGTTATCAAGTCTCATTTAGATGGTTCCTGTGCAGAGGAACTGTGGACTGTTGAAGTTAAGCATTGTTCTTTAAAAGCTGGTTCCCTTGTTCCCACAATGTTTGCCAGTTGCAGTGACTAGACATTACAAAAGCCCAATTCATAAGCAAACAATTTATACAAAGAGTAGATCCAAGAAGAAAGAATACAACAATTCATGATTTTAATCATTTCAAAGTGTGTCCTAGGGTGGGACCATTCAGTGTAGTCTGTGAAGAAGCGCATAAATCTGAGCAGCCATCTGCTTGCAACATAATGTCATGGTGGCCAAAAGCTGAAGAGGTGAAAAATGCTGCTGAATACTACGTACTAGATAATTTAAATGTAAATAATGTGAAGATGAATATTTCAAACTGACATTTTCATTGGTTTTCTTTATTTTCTGTTAGAAACAAAAGCAAATATTTTGACATGACATGACATGTAGATTTTAGGTCTTAGTAAGACATATGTGCCCCGGAGAGCAAAAACCTGTTGGATCAGTGGGGTTCCAGCTTTAGATGTCAACATATTGTGATGTGAAATCAATAGTGCTTACTGTAATGTGCACATTGACAAAGCATCAAAAGAAGATTGCAAACATGTTTGAATATTAATCTAATGTAATTTAACACAAGTCAACCAAAGTGGGCATTGACTTTTAAGTGAATAAATGAATCAGACTGATTTTTGCCTCTTCATACCTTCAAAAAACTTCATACATGAACAAAAATCACCACATTCAAGCCTCTTGTAACTTTGTACCAATTTCAACTACCTGACAAACAGTTCATTTTCATTCATTCATACCTGACAATTTCACCCCACTTCAAATATGTAATTTCCACCTCTGCAATTACTCAAAAATTGACAAGTTGTGTCATTAATTATGATGAAGTTAAATGCTCAGTGCACAACTGAATGAGTGTTGAAACATATGAATCTACAGACTAGTCTGTTTTGATAAGAATATTGTACTATAACCTGACTGTTATTTTGTCTATTGGGATCCACAAAGCCCACAAGGTGACTGCCACCTGCTGGCCCCACTAACAACTCTTTCTAACTTTTGATCTCTGGAAATAACATGCTGGTTTTCCCATGAGAACTTTAACCCACTAGCAAGCAAATCCATAGCTACTCAGTATTAGTAAACTGTAATGGTTATGGGATAACCGATCAGGCAAATAATCATTATAAGCCTTGGAGTAAGATATTACTCACATCGGAACCTGTTTGTAGTAAACACCACTATCTAATTCTGAAGAGATGTTATTATTAAGGCCAATGCACACTGAACAGACAGACACAGACCAACGCCAACAGTATGTCACTTCTCAGACACTCCAAGACCTGACAAACACTGATTCAACATGTTCAATCGACGAAATTAAGCATCGACCAATGGCAACAGATACTGACAGATGTAACACAATAATCCGACAAAAATCTTTGTTGCCGTTTGTCTGCGTCTGTGAATAGGCATTTACGGAATTTACAAACTTATCAAAGATTGGTCGTACCTGTAGCAGTTATTTTCAAATTTATTGTAGCTTGCGAAGGCAATGAGGACTCCAAACCCAGCTCCTAGAGAATAGAAAATCTGAGTAGCTGCGTCAATCCATACCTGCAGCAAACATAAATGAGTGACAATCCATCTATATAAAAGAGAAGTACGTATTTGTGACCTTTTTTAAAAATCCGAGATATACAGTATATATCAGGAATAGTTCATAAAATAGGTTGAGCCCTACTGGCATGAACTTACTTGAGGATTATTGAGCTTCTTTAGGTCAATGTGGAGATATGCCCTAATTCCATTCATTGCACCAGGGAGAGTGATGCCTCGAATCAGCAACACCAACAGCACTATGTAGGGCATAGTAGCTGTAACATACACCACCTAAACACACCCACACACAAATAAAGAAGGTAATTTTGTCCAGTGCCTTCAGATTGCTTTTCAATTAAAAGTGTATATATGAAAAATAAATTCATCTTTGATTGAATGACCAAAAAAAATATATATATATATATATCTGGAGTTTTTGCACCTTTCCCGAGGACTTGACTCCCTTCCACAGGCTGAAGTACAGGATGAAGACAACCACAATAAGGCAGACGGCGAGCTCCCAGCGAGGAAGACCCAGGTCACCGATGCCTCTACTCTCATGAATGTGCAGCACCCCGCGCCTGGAGGAGAAATGGTAAGTGAGATCAAGCAATTACATCAGTGTATTTTGTTCATAGTCACACTGAAAAGGGGAAAAAAATGTTGAGAAATGTTGTGTTGTGTGCCTTGTTCAAAGGCTCTCCAGTAGTAAAGGAAGTGTCCTGGGCCACAGTTCTCCTGGAACCAGGAGATTCGTTGGAGTGTTTTCCTCATCAAATTATCGCTATTCTTATCTCTGTTATGCTCTATTCTTAGTCATGCTCCAAGAGAATGGTGCAAAAATATTTATCTGCACACAAAAAAATTTTTTGAATAAACATACTGTACAGGTCCATTGGTGCCAGGGACACCCTCTATGCAGGGCTGTGGGGGGGCCTCACTGAGTTATAAACCACTGAAATTCTTGTTAGACTCTAAGGAGTATGTAGGAGTTGCCTTGTCACTTGACGTCACTGCTCATATAATACGTGGAAAAGGGGTTATGTATCAAAATAAAAGTGATGTTCTCTCAAGTCAAAGTATGATAAAGCCCTGTACTGATAACTGAAGATCATATAAAAAAATCTACAACTACAGAGAATTAAGTCCACTCCAACTCTGTCTAGGGACCTGTATCTTGTTTTTATAACACATTCTTACACCCTTTCATGTGCTTTATGTTATGCTTACGCTAACCCTCGTTTTACGGCTGTTTCCACTAGACTGTCCACTTTGAACTGATGTTTACTATGTACTAAATCTAACCTAATATTGGTGCCAGGGACACCCTCTATGCAGGGCTGTGGGGGGGCCTCACTGAGTTATAAACCACTGAAATTCTTGTTAGACTCTAAGGAGTATGTAGGAGTTGCCTTGTCACTTGACGTCACTGCTCATATAATACGTGGAAAAGGGGTTATGTATCAAAATAAAAGTGATGTTCTCTCAAGTCAAAGTATGATAAAGCCCTGTACTGATAACTGAAGATCATATTAAAAAATCTACAACTACAGAGAATTAAGTCCACTCCAACTCTATCTAGGGACCTGTATCTTGTTTTTATAACACATTCTTACACCCTTTCATGTGCTTTATGTTTTGGCAACTGCTCACAATGCGGACAGTCGGCCCTCTCGAGAGCCGACGCCGCGTGCTCCGCTCCCAAGCAGACCACGCACAAACTGTGTGTATCCCCGCTCGTGATGTAGCGTGGGCAGGAAGAAACACACAGTCTGTAACGCGATCTGCTTTGGCCCTTTTTTGTCTTTAGTTTAGACATCTTTTTTCTGCTGGAGCTTATACTTTGAATGCTTGTGCAACTTTTTTGGACAGACAACAATAAATAAGACTCACAGACATAAATCGTGACCGCCACACACAGAGAGCTTTGCTGAATGACAGAAAGCTAGCGCCGGCTGCACCTCACGTGCTTTTAAAGCTTCCTGGTCATGACGTCACCCGCCTCTGACGTCTCGCCCATCGATTCGACTGATTACACATATGATTCAGAGCTTGGTATCGCTGAAGGCGTTCCCCTAGCGTTTTCCGACGCAGCTTGAGTTCCCGAAGGGGAACAAAGGTTTCTCAACCAGCCAATGATGAATATTATTGCTGGTTTGTAGCAAAATATCTGGATACACCCCGTGAAAAGAGTCTCTGTAGAATGTGATCTAAATGATTCCTGTGCTGCACCTCCCAGTGAGGTTCAAAGAGGAGAAACAGTACAGGCCATTGTTCATATATTATAAACACACCCCTATAGCACTGCCAGAATATTGCTGTAGTCTTTTCTTGAAAGAAGTATCTTGTAAAGGAAAAACTAAAGCTGCTCTGTTTGAATACACTTTATGAGTTTAGAAGCCATGATGTGAATGTAAGCAGACTTGATCCATCTCTATTTTACTTTAAAAACAATATTAAAGACCCAGAATATTAACATTAGGACACTTTTCAAGCGACAAAATGACATTCCCAAATTATTGCTGTCTTAAATTCTGTTCAGCCCAATTTATTAATCTCCCAAATCTGTAATATTTCTGTGTAATATGCCATAGTATCAATAAATGATTAAATCTGGCTTGGTTTTGCAACATTCCAAACTAAGATAGTTGTATTTAAAATGAAAACTTTAAAGCTAGAGAGAGCTTGAGAATTGCTCAACTTCTCATCAAACAAGTAATTTGGTCATGCACTGGGAATAAGGGAATAAATGTGAGTATGAGGTCTACAGAAACATGGATGTTGAAGCCATCATGGCTGAGTTAACGAAGAGAAGAAAAGCCAGACAAAAACCCAGGGCTCAAGAGTCCAATCCCGTCATCATTGCCAATAACATCACGCTGGGACATGGCCACCCGCCTGACCTGCTACAACTTGACCTTTAATCCACTCTCTATGACATTTCAGTTGACCCCTGGCCCTTTAACATACCTACATCCTATACAAATCTCTTGGTTTATATCAGTCTGTCATGACAATAAATACTTTTACAAATAGCTCACTCACATTTGATTATTCATTTACTGGACTTTTTCACTAATCCTTTAGTAAATCAAGTTTTGATGACATCTTTTAGAATTACATATGTGTGTTGTTTGAAAGCAAAAGTGCAGGTAGAAATTCTAACAAAATACAGATTTTAATGAATACATTTGAATAAAAAGCACTGGAAAAGATACTGCATATCCAAAAAACCAATGACAAACAGGACTACATGTTCTACAGGTTAAAGACATCATTTGGGTGTTTCCAAGTAATCTGCTCACCAGATCCAGTATTAAGGAACTATAGATAAAGGACTCATCCATATTAATGATGGGTTTGTTTCTTACAAACACACCACTTTTTGTTTCACAATATGTTAATTGAAAGACTGAAGTTACTTGTGGATTACTGTGATGTTTTTTATCAGCTGTTTGGACTCTCATTCTGACGGCAACCATTCACTGCAGAGGGTTCAGTGGTGGGCAAGTGATGTAATGCTAAATTTCTCCAAATCTGTTTAGATAAACAAACAAGCTCATCTACAACTTAAACGGCCTTAAGGTGAGAATTTTAATTTTTGGGCAAATTCTGAAGAATACAATGCTCTGTTATTAGCCAACGACAAAACTAGTCATTCTGTCACACTATGACAGAAGGAACTGTGATAATATATAGTCCAAAAACACGCAAACAGACACACAAACACTCCTGAATAATCTTCCTAACTTCAAAAACAGACATAACCACTCTTTTCATTCTGTGGCAGCAGATCTTGAGCCTGAGCTCAGTCTCGGTGACAGCGGCTAGGTCAGGACAGATGTGAGCACAGCCTCCTCTAATTGAATAATTACATTAGATTGGCGAGTATCTTGGCAAGCGTTCCCTCTAGAGCTCTTCATTCTTCGGATGTCCCGTCCTTGCCAAGCTAAATCCAAACACCTATGATTTCAACATATCCTCAGCTATGTACACTGAGCCAGAAATCGGCCACAGAAGTAAACTCTGATGGCATGTGGGGTCTCATCACAGCTTGCTTAACTCTGGAGCAAATTATATTTGTTTTCATAACAGGCAACAGAATGTCCTAAAGTGTGTTTGTGAAAACGCACATTCGTTGTGGTTATGGACCTCTCTGGCTGACACTGTTTAGTGCTGTTTATTTTTTTGTAATTTCCTTCCTTTTATTTGTATAATTATTAAAAACAAACAAACACTGCAAATAAATAGCATTTGTAAGACTTACAACCTTCATATCTAATTTTTTAAAACTATTTACTGAAACACAACCGCTTGGTACTTTTAATAAATCATGATATTAAAAAAATGAAACAAATGAAACAAGCACAATGAACCTATATACTAAGGGTTCACTATTATGCTTGTTTGGTTTACTATTTTAATTACTTTTACCCCCCGGTTTCACAAAAAAAAGGCTTAAGCCTAGTCCCAGACTAAAATGCATGACTGAGATGTTTTAACTAAAAAATAAAAAATAAAATTTTATAATATGTAAGTGCCTTTGATTTGTCTCAAGATGCACACCAGTAATGTTTTTTTTTTTCGAAGGCATGTTTACAAAAATTACTTAAATGTTCTATTTTAACTATGGCCTAATCCTGGCTTAGTCTGAAACCAGGCCTTAATGATTATTATTTGAAGGCACAATGAGCATGGTCAAGATCTTTGTCTTGGCTTTTCAAATGATTATATTTTTTCCTCAAAATCCACAATTTCTGTCTTCATGACATCAGTCCGGTGTTAAATCTGAGACTGTGTGTGATGTAACAAGATTTCAGTAATGACGGAATAATTAGATCTAGGACACCTGCTGTGTAAAACAATACAACGGAGCAGTAACGGTTCATTATTCTCAACAAACAACGATCGACTTGAACATGTCAAGATTGGCAGAGACAGCGTAGTCAAAGGATATGTGGGTGGCATACAAGCTGATGAAATTTGCTTTGTTGAGCTTGTCATATTTTGCTTTTGTCTGGTTGTCGGTTGTTTTAGAAAGATGTGTGGCATGAAGGGTTTGTGTAAGACCAATGAACTTGACTGGCTTCTGGATTGACAGCTGCTGGTTCAACACCTCTTTCTGTGATTGGTTTCTAGCTCTCCCCATCATTTTAGCTATTACGAGCAACACACTGCTTAATCTGATATTCAATGTACGGCACACCTGCTGAGCATGTGAGTCTGCTGTATGTGTGACAGTAATGAATATTCTCTAGTGCCCTGTGTGCTGTCCCATCATGGCAGGACTACTGGTGGCCGAAAACTATTATAATAGAGCGGCATGAGGGGGGAAAAGCGGAGGAAATTACAGCTTTCCACATCCCCTCATACACAGAAGACAGCTGGGGAAATTACACTTCAAAGCACTGCTGGGTGGGAAACCAGTCCAAAAGAGGGTAAGGGCACAGGAGAGGGAGAAAGTGAGAGAAACAGCTAAACAGACAGTGAGTACAAGACAAGCAGAGAGTATAAGAAGCGGTAGATCACCAAGAAAGAGAGGGAAAGGGGAGAAACAAATGAGTTGAGGGTTGGACGAATTAAAATATACCATACCTGTATATATAGGAGATAATGAACATGCTATAGACTCTTTAAGAGATTTTGTGATATACAAACATGCGTACGATTTGAGCAATAAATTGAAGGAATAAAGACACGGTAACCCTCACTAGAATCTGATGACGTGTCTCTGTGATTTTGTCCATAACTGGTTGTAAACAAATCAGCAAGTGTGCTGTAGGTTCTTCATTGTTCTACACATTCTTCTGGTTTCCCCTGACACAAGGAGCCAAATTTTCCCTTACACTCTTAAAAATAAAGGTGCTTCACGATGCCATAGAAGAACCTTTTTGTCTAAAGGGTTCCATAAAGAACCTTTAACATCTGAAGAACCTTTCTGTTTCACAAAGGGTTCTTTGTGGCGAAAGAAGGTTCTTCAGATTATAAAAATGTAAGAAAGAGATGGTTCTTTAAAGAACCTTTGACTGAATAGATCTTTATGGAACCAAAAATGGTTCTTCTATGGCATCGCTTGAAGAACCTTTTGAAGCACCTTTATTTTTAAGAGTGTAGACACAGGGAAAGAATTGCTTTTCTTTGAAGTGCAAGCGGCTGCCTTTCTTTCAGTCTACATCAACTGAATCAACTGCTAGAATGGAAATCAACCTGTCTTCCAGTACTAAACTAGCACTGATACTGATATCTGACTGATTTAGTCTCCCTCATAGCTGACTCCTCATGCAACTAGAAGTAATGATTAACTAAAACCCAAAACCTCTCCAACACAGGCTAGCCAGGTTTGATATGTCAGTCTTTCATCTTTTCCTGTCTGATCATTCATATCTTTAAGAGTGTTCTCATGATCTCACACAGGAATGAGAGAAAGAATGTATGAAAAACAAATAGCTAAATGATAGCTCCATTAGGCGCCATATCAGCAAGACTCCATAGGAAGCAACAAGCAACTGGTACAACATGACAAACTTGAACAATGTCGAAAGACATCACAGACATTGTGAAGCATAAGGAAACACCTGACTAGTTAAACAGCTGTATCATTCATAACTGATTTTGTACTTGAAAATGTTTCATTTACTTGTTTTAATGGGTTTGGAAAACCTACCAGACAAAATACAGTAAAAGCGTTTGTTTAATAAACAGGATATTCATACTTTTAAGCAAATCTCAAGCTCACTGCAGTTGATTAAATAGAAAGTCTATCAACTGTCTGCCTGAGTTCATTTAACTGACAATGATATGAAGATTTCATTTGCAAAAACAGATAACTCCGTTTTTAACAATTTTCAAAAATTCATGTTTTTTCATTGTGCATTCCAATTAACCCTTTAAGCCCTGAGGGCATTTTGGCCTCACTGAAGTTGATGTTTTTTCTGAGTGACATACACAAAAATAATGACTCATAACTCGAAGACTGTAGCAAGGAGAGTCAAAAGGTTGGTATCATTTGATAGCCATTCTGCTTGCCAAGAGTTCAATAGAGCTCTCCAACTGATTTCTTCAATTCATGGGTTTAGGTATTATTTACACACGAAAGACGCAATGGATTGTTTTGATTTTGGACTCATTTCAATCGCGAGAATCTGCTGTAAATAATGATATGCCATTTTCTATGATTTATGCATGTTCATGAAGTTATGAATGAAAACGTAACCTATATTTTTCTTATTTTAATGGTTTAATGTGTGTGATAACATCATATGGGATTTCTTTAGATCTAATGAACAAATTATGATGAGTCTAGGCTCCTTTTAATCTGGAGAATTTTCTGAAAATAATGACGTGCAATTTTCCATGATCTATGCATGTTTAATGAAGTTACAAATAAAAGCGCAAAGTGAAAGTACAGTTATTTATGCTGCTGCGCCTCAAGCGCGCCTGTCTGGTTTCATGTGTTACAGAACAAAATCTTTCGATCTGATTGACGGATTATGGTAAATTTGGACTCTTTTTAATCGGGATAATTTTTTTAAAATAATGACGTGCAGTTTTCCACGATCTATGCATGTTTCGTGAAGTTACGAATAAAAACGCAACGTGAAGCATAGAGCTGTTTTTCTTTGCAGCGCCTCAACGCGCCTGTCTGGTTTCATGTGTTACAGCTCTATGAACGAAATCTTTCGATCTGATCGACGGATTAGGGTAAATTTGGGCTTTTAAGATCTATGCATGTTTGGTGAAGTTACGAGCTAAAGCGGCACAGGACTGCAACCTCTGATTTTTTTGCTAAGCTACATGTCCTAATTCTGTTTTATGTGTTATAGCTCTATGAGTGATATCTTTAGATCTGAACGATGGATTATGGTGAGTTTGGGCTCTTTCTAATCGGGAGAATTTTCTGCAAATAATGGCGTGCCATTTTCTATGATATATGCATGTTTTATGAAGTTACGAGCGAAAACGCTACATGACAGCTACCTTAGATTTTTTTGCTAAGCTACATGTGCAGCTACTGTGCAGTTTTATGTGTGTTATAAATTCTTGAGGAATATCTTTAGATATAAATGACGGATTACAGTGATTTTTTATCTCTTTTTAATCAGGAGAATCTGCTCTAAAAAATGGTGTTTTCCACGATCTGAGCATGTTTACAAGCAAAATCGTGACATCAATATATTATTTTCATAGAGTAAATGGCACAAAAAACATATTTTGTAAATTATGATTTGTTTGTCATTTATCAGCAAATAACTCGGCACTACTCAAAACGGCTACATGCATTGTAAAGATCAGACTCTAAGCTTTCAAATGATATCCATTTTTTGTTGATCAAGGCAGTGGTTTGAAAAACATGATTAGTAATATTTTCGCAGAGGGTGGGCGTCCCGCCCGCGGTTTAGAGGGACTGCTCAGCGCTCATTAACAGTTGATCAAAATAATTACATTCATTAAAAATTCTAAGCTTTAAAATGATACCTATTTTGTGTTATTCCATTCAGGGGTTGCTTAGTAATTTGATTATGAATTTTTTCGTGCGGGAGGTGTCCTGCCGGCGGGACACCTCGGGCTTAAAGGGTTAATCGCAATCAAACTGCAGTTGGGTTATTTTGATTAGGTAAAAAATAACTAGTAAAAAACTAATAAAAAACATGATAACATAATACAAAAACATGATTTTTGAAAATGTAAAAAAAAAAAACGGAGTTATCTGTTTTTGCAAATAAACTCTTCATATTGCGTCACATGTGTTCCCAGACATTTTCATGATACTATTATTGGAATAATATACAACAACTTAAGTACAACAGCAAAGTCACAGAGAAAAAAACTATAATAAAAATGAATTTAAGACTCACTCGTAGAACTCTGCGGCTGGTGTGTTCTTGTACTTGGCATAGGAGGTTCTGTTACCCAAGACAGTGCCATTGATGTGTTGTGGTTCTGTGCAGTTGGGGCTGTTCCATGGGTTATTACACTTGAGCCAGGGCAGCTCACTTGTCAATGAGGCAAATAAGTAATACAATGACCAAGCTATGATGACGTTGTAGTAAAAGCCCACGTACAATGCTATGATGATCACAGTGTACCCAACACCTGAGGAGGAAAGTCACAAATATTTTGTTATTACCGTATATGTGAAAAAGGTTTGCTTTATCTGTTTCAGGCCTCTCTTTGCTTCAGTATATGAGGTTAAAGGTGTGTGCACTGACTTCAAAGTCACAACAGAGTCACTGTATAACCTAGTTCACTGCCCCAACGAACACATTTGTTGGCTTTTGTTGGATCATTGAGTTAACCCTGTTTGTGTTCGTTGGGTCAGTGTAAAATGAAACATCCAAAAGTTAGAACATTTGTTTTGGGGTTCGTTGGGTGAACTGTGTTAATTGTTGAAATGTGTGAACCTGGTACAGTTCATCTCAGCATCTTTTATGTCTACACATTTTCAGCGTACCTTTAAATACAGGGCAGATCTTCCAAACCGTAGCTGCTCCCTCTCTGTTATACTGACCCAAGGCAAGTTCCATGTAGAACAAGGGCATCCCAGCAATGAAAAGGAACAGAACGTATGGGATCAAAAAGGCACCTGGGGGGACACATTATAGAATTTTACATTTGATAGCTGATAGATATCTACAGATGGCCAAAGAATAAATGAAGGCTAAACAACAGGCATTTGTCACTATATCTGCTAACATAGTGAATAGTCAATCAACAGTGGAGTTAGAGGCAGTTTGAGTAATCATAGTTCTTAAGTCTGACTTTGCATTATAATGTATTCAGATATGGAAAATTCTACATGGTGTAACCTGTACATAGAGGTGAAAAGTGTCATAAACACATTTCTGTCTCAAAGCTTATCTACATGCCTAAAGAGTTAAAAATAAATTTTGTTACTCATAAATTATAAAAGACAACAAAACTGTTAAACAATAGCCCACTAGTAGTCAATGAGTTCACTGACAGTGATGTCTAGTATATGGACGACTGGCAGGTTGTTGAGAAAAACAACAGGTTAAAAATTTTTTAATGATCTGAGTCATAATGATTGGAATAAATTATATAATGTTGATTAAAGAATTTTACATTTGATAGCTGATAGATATCTACAGATGGCCAAAGAATAAATGAAGGCTAAACAACAGGCATTTGTCACTATATCTGCTAACATAGTGAATAGTCAATCAACAGTGGAGTTAGAGGCAGTTTGAGTAATCATAGTTCTTAAGTCTGACTTTGCATTATAATGTATTCAGATATGGAAAATTCTACATGGTGTAACCTGTACATAGAGGTGAAAAGTCAAATTAAATTAAAATGTCACATCTTACCTTCTCATGAAACTTTCTGACCCCATGACCTTAAGTATGTTTTCAAAATCGGAAATCTACCCAATCCCTGCTATATTTGTCTTTGTTCATGATGTTTTAATATTATGGTTTTAATATTATAATTGATACACAAAAGGAAAGTGTATCATTTATGCAAAAAAAAATTGATTACTGTAATGCATTTAAATGAGTGATTTTTAGTCTGTTTCAGTCATAAACACATTTCTGTCTCAAAGCTTATCTACATGCCTAAAGAGTTAAAAATAAATTTTGTTACTCATAAATTATAAAAGACAACAAAACTGTTAAACAATAGCCCACTAGTAGTCAATGAGTTCACTGACAGTGATGTCTAGTATATGGACGACTGGCAGGTTGTTGAGAAAAACAACAGGTTAAAATTTTTTTAATGATCTGAGTCATAATGATTGGAATCAATTATATAATGTTGATTAAAAAGCATAAATATATAATGAAAATATATTCTTTTGTAAATTATACACTCTAAAAAAAGGTTCTTCAGCGGTTCTTTGGAGTGGTTAAGGTGCTATATAGCACCACTACCATATAAAGAACCTGTTAAGCCCCTGTATGGTTCTTCAGCGGTTCTTCAGCGGTTCTTTGGAGTCGATGAGGTGCTATATAGCACCACTACCGTAAAACCTCTAAGCCCCTGTATAGTTCTTTAAAGGTTCTTTAACTCTCTCTTAGTCTCTTAGTTTAGTTGGGGAAAGGGTTAAAACAACATTAAAATACAGTCTATTTCTTGAA